TCAATGACGATCAATCATTAATTTATTGTTGTATATAAAAAAAAAAAAAAAGAAAAAATGCCACCAATTTCAAAAAGAAAAAAGAGAGCCAAAAATCAAACAAGAAATGCAGAAGGCAAGTTTGTGTCAAAAAAGGTATGCCAAAATTATGGTTCTGAATCTTTGGATACGAGTGAACATGGCGAAGGAGTAAATCATGAAAAAAATGATGAATTAAAAGATTTTGACAGTGAAATCAACACGACAAATGATAATTCTGAATTTTTGGATATGATTGGACATAGTAAAGAAGTAAATCATGAAAATAATGGTGAATTAATAAAAGACTTTGACAGTGAAGTCAACACGAAAAATGATAATTCTGAATCTTTGGATATAGTCGAACATGCTTTTGAATCTCCTGAAAAAGCAAATTACTTTAACGGAGGGCTCAATATTCCGACTGAATCTTGGGATATGATTGAATATGATGAATTAATATGTGGCTTTAAAAGTGGAATCAACATTAATCCTCAATATTTGGATATAATTGAAGATACTTTAGAATATTTTGAAAGAAAAGATGACGTTGACGGACCGCTCGAGAAAATTGATCATCTTGGAAATAGTTATTATGAATGAAGATGAAGAAGAAGTCAAATCTTTCATTATTAACAGATGGCTCAACACGAGATTTCATACTCGCTTATATCTAAAGAGGTTGAAAATAGGTGATATGATCAATCTTTCAAACATCTTCAACCTAACAATAGTATGAACGTTCACGTAATAATAGTGAATTTTCAAACTAGTAATAATATTAATTGTATGAATGTTCAGACTAGTAATAATGTGGATGCTCATAGTTTTGAAAATATCGTTTTATCATCAATAATTAAAATATCTCAGTATAAAGAAATTAAATAAATTATTATAAAAAAATTTTTTAAATGTAAAAAAAAAAAAACATTCAGAATATATAAAGAAAATGCTTTCAGCATAATATCAATTGTTATTAATACTCTCAGAATTAGCATGGTTATTGTAACATCATAATGTTATAAGTCAATTTATTAAATATATTGATATATACACACCTTTTTTAAAAATTATATAACCCTACATTATTATATATATATATACACAAGATTAAAAAGTAAGTAAATGATTAAAACTTGATTAAAATTTGCATAAATAATACAACAATAAATACAATCATTATTTATTCTATCCTCATGAATTCAGAATTTGATAGTACTAATTAATTAATCATTTTGCTAAAATTTTTTTTTTTAAAAAATTTCTAATTTGAAAAAATAGCAAATAAAGAACAAATATTTATTTACCTTTAATTAAGGAGATGACGTTAATTCTAAACGATATTATAGGAAATATATAAATGTTAGAAATATATTTTAATTAGTAAAAAAATACAAAAAGAAAAACAATTTATTAAAATATATATTTTCAGAAATTAGTGTTTGTTTGGCTTTTCACTATGTTTTTGTCTTATCCACACAATTTTAATTCGGACTGGGGCGACAATTTAATCATCATTTGTTATTTCATAAACTGAAAAAAAAAAATATATAATAGTTACCTTTGACTTTTTTTTTTAAAAAAAAGAAAAATTTTTTAATCTGAATCTTGTATTACCTATTACTATTTATATTACTCAATGATGTCACCATAATTTTAAGTATTCGATTACCTGATTCATTTACCTACCCAAGACGTTCGTTTTTCTACAATATTCAAAATCTTCAACAACATGCCGTTTCTTATTGGGATGGATATACATTTTGAGAAAGGAATAGGGAATTTTTCAGTAACTCCAATTCGAATTGCTCAATTTTATTTTTATTATTATTTTATTAGCTGGTGTTTTTTTCTTATCCACGAAATTAATTTTGAGGATGAATGAAGTTTCACATCTTTGATGCTTTTCTTTTTTCTACAGTACTTTAGAAACTTCTTACTAGGAGATGATTTTCTATTGCTGTGTTGGTTAATTTCGTTGATTTCGTTACCACAAAGCTGCCCTGAAATGTATTGCGTCAGGTACATTTTGCAAAACATAAGAAGCATTGACTATCAAATATTTCTTTTCTTTTGGGCTAACATAATATAGCAACATCTCAAGTTATGCAAATAGAAAACTCTAACAATAATTCTAACGTACATATACAACCCACAAAAATTATGGGAGGGTTCATAACGCATGATGCATTGGTGCCCTAGTCATCTTCATTGTAAACATCCTAAAAGTTCAGAATTTGGGTATAGTTACATTGTCATGTACAGAATAAAAATAATTTATCCCCCACCTCCCCACAGTATTTTGGTCGTTTCTTATCAACAATATTTTAATTAACTCTGGTCAGTGTTGTGACCCGAAACTCTGAGTTTAGGGAAAACCAGAAACAGAAACTAACAGAAACCACCCGAAACTAGTTTAGGTTAGTAGTTTATGTTTATGTTCAGGTTTAGGTTTAGATTTCTGCTTAGTGTAAGTTCATTTTTCGAAACGTTTCGGGAAGCCAAAAGAGTTTCTGGCCACAACACTGAATCTGGTCTATTCTATTTTGCTGTTGAAGAATATAGGAAGTTGGGATGATACTAATGTTGTTTGACGAAATGTTACCAAAGTTGTAAGACTATTAGCAAGTAAAATTGCTTTAAAGGATGATAAAATATAAAGCTCACAAAAAAACTTATGAATATATATTCCAAGGTCTTTTTTTACATATATATATTTCTTGTGTGTCCCAATCTCTCCTTTGTTTCATCAGTTGTTTCCAAGAAGCCAAGTTTGTCTTTTGCCGATAAAAAATTCAGTTCCCACACACTCATTTACTACTAAACTCGGACGTTTCTTAATAACGTGATACATGACCGGGCAGATAAGATCATAGATTAGGAATTCGGTACTTAATGGTCAACTAATTTAAAAGCTTTCTATAATTAACTGTATAAATAATTATGGAAGTTTTTATAATATCAATATTGATTGTTAAATTACTTTACAATAATAAACCTATCTTTGTTTTTATCTTTATTTATTAAGGATAACTTCCGGTCTTCGCTTGAAAAAGCATAACTTTGAGTCCTCGCAGAGGGAACTAATAGACAATTAACATCTAATAAAATAAAACTCTGTGATAGAAAATAAAAAAATTGTCTTTATTTTCTTTGTTTAAATCGCTTTGATAAAAGCAACAAGTGTAGCTAATGCCTCGGTAAAGGTAACAATTGTGAGGCTTTGGTAAAAAGCCACGTTTTTTTGCTTTAGTGAGCAAGCAAGCAAGGTTAGGATTAACGTTGGTTAACTTGTGAGTATTAATAACGATTAATAACGTAATTTGCTTTAGTGAGTAAGCAAAGGTTTGGATTAACTAGTATGTGTTGATGAAGTATCGTCTAAAGGTTAATCGGAAATATTGATAGTATTATTGTAATCGGAAATGTAAGGCTGTTAAACAAGCTACTTAAGTTGTTTGCAATCGGCCAATAAATGTAAACAAGGGTAAACGACTGAAATAAATCGAACGCAATTGAATAAAAGAAACTTTATAGAAGCCCTTGAGCTTGTAAAAGGCCATCTTTATTTATTTACAGTTATCTGGTACCACTAAGTGTGCTCACAAATTTGTCTAGGTACAAGAAAGAGAGAATCAAAGTAAACTCGTAAACTAATTAATTGACAAGCGCCAAATTAACTGATAGGAGTAGCCCAAAAGTTAAGCCATAATTGTTAATTAACCGAAATGGTACCTTGCAATATCACCATTTAATCAGAATCAAAAAACTGTAAAAAGTTCATTGTTATAATTTAGCTTTGAGAAACAAAATAAGGATAAGATAAAAAGATAAATAAAAAGATAATAAATATTAAAATTAGTTATTCATCAATTCTTTCTTTTACTATTGTTACCAGAATTAATTAATTAATAATGGAATTTTATTCACTTTTGTTAAGATTCCGGAGAAAAGAGTTAAAATCAAGATTATTTAACGAACTGTTATTACTTGTATAACTTTAAAGCTTTTAGATTTAGCAATCTCTTCATCTAATATTCTACATGTATGATATGCATCTGGATGTGATTTTTGTTGTTGCGAACCACAACCGCCGCCGCTGCTGCCATTATCAATTTCACATTTTTTTTAATTTTCGAAAAATTTTTTATTGATTTTATTAAAATTAAAAACTATCATCGCTACTATTATTTTTCAAACTTCATTTTTAAAATTTTCTTCCAATTTATTTATAACGAATTCATAAAGCTCTTCAATATTTGGCCTTTTTGATGGATGTGGATCCCAACTCCTCCGCATCATTTGTGCATAATCATCAGGCATTCCTGGCGAAATTGGTGGTCGTAAACTCTCTTCACATATTAATATATCAAAAATTAAACGATAATTATGAGCTCTATCATCAAATGGTAGATGACCAGCAAATATTTCCCACATTAACATTCCAAAACTATAGATATCTGATTCTCTTGTGTTCCTATTTCCATTAAGTAGCTCAGGTGCAATATATGATACAATTCCATAGGCTTTATTTGATGAATTTTCATCAACTGGACCACAAAATCCTAAATCTGTAATATAACCAATACCTTTCTTCACAAGTATATTACCACTATGTAAATCACAATGGATTAAATATTTTACATGTATACAATGTAATGCAATATACAAATAGACAATGATTGCATTTCTGTCTTTTAATGTTAAATTTAAACGATTTTTTTGTAAATAATAACCACTTAAATCTCCTTCTGGATAATGATTTAAAACTATTGCATAATTTCCATTATCTGGGAATTTAGTTATACCATAACAACCAACAATCAGCGATTTAATTTTGGAATAATTCATTGTCTGAAATTGAATATAAAATCAATTAGTATTATATAATACAGCATTATTTATTTTTGTTTTAAATGACAACTACCAACCTCATCAAAAAATGCTTTTACCTGGATCACTTGAATTATTTAAATTTTTTTAATACCAAATTTTGCCTTCCAAAATAAATAAATTCCTTTTTATTTCCATCATAATCATTAATACTTCCTCTTGTCCATGTAGCAGCAAAAATACACCTTTTTTACTTTTTCAAATTGCTCAAAAGGAATCCATTCTAAAATAAAGTCTGGCAAAGATGATTTCATTTGATATTGTTGAATAAAAACATCAATTATGCTAGTTCCAGATGTCCAATCAGTGAAAAGTCTCTGTAAGTGTAAACTAATACAACCTTTACAGAATCTATCAGAGTATCATGTCAATTTACACTTGTTATATTCTTTTGGCTTGCCCCATTTATAAATTGCATTATTTATTTTAAACTCATAAATAAATCTTTCTTTACAATATTCTTTTTCATTTTCAGAAAAGCTCCTTTTTTTTTTTTTTTTGACTAATGAAAAAAAATAATCCTTCATCAGAATTGACTACTGCACTATCAAACATTTCATTGTCGGTTTTAAATACAAATTCCTTTCTTTCTGGTGATAAAAACGATAATAATTTAGCATGTGACATTGTATAAAATATAAAGTTCAACTTGGTGTTTTAATATGAATGTGGAGATTTTTTGATAATAACGGTTACATTATTTCCTTTTTCTTTGCGGCGGAGAATTGACATGACAATTCTTTCGCACAACATTTTTATTGGTTGCCTTTAAGTTTTTCTCTAGGATTAATTGATAAGGATGCAAACTGAAAAACGAAAATTGCATTATTTAAAGAACAACTTCATCGTCACCAAACTCTCTAGTGATCGATTTATCGTGATTCAACAATAAAAGCATTTCAGCATTCTTCAAAGATTTAAAAGTGATAAAATAGAAAACAAAATTAAAACTTACAAAAATTATGTACCAAAACCTGTCTTATGTGCTATGTAAAGGTCGTCCTAAGTATCAATATTGATCAATCTATGTTGCTTCAAAATCAAAAATTCGAAAAAACATCAATTTAACATAACTCATATGAATGTAAAGACAATTTGATTTTATGAAATCTAATAAAAGAATAGTTTTAATTTGCAAAAAAAAAAATTTAGTAAAATTTCTAATTCAAATTTATGACATTTTAATTTGTAAATCTCACATGATAATACAATAATAATTCTTTTACATAATTTGGGACTTTTGATAATCCTATTTATCATTACCATTATTGCACCCTGCTTGTATCAGGCGTTTTTGCTTACGTCAAGCGTCTTCACTTACGTCAAGCGGTTTTACTTACGTAAGGGCTTTTACCTTAGTCAAATCGCCGAAATAACGCTATCTTTAGTTAATACTTTAGTTACGTCAATGGCTAAAAGTCAAAAGTTTGCATCATTAGATGGTACAATACAATATTCCCATAATGTCCCATGTCACTGGAAAAAGAATTCTTTATTGGATTAATAATACATTAGACAAACCCCAATTATACTTACTTGGAAGGGCTGAATGGGCGAGAAAGTTCTCGAATTTCAATAATTGGTTGATAAATTGGAGAATTTCCCAAATATTAATATTTTATCCATCTCGTTTTTTAAAAAAAAATTTAAAGTAGACCACACAAAATTGGCATGCTTATTATTTGAATATCTGTTCTTTGCGGATTAACTTCAAACAGGTGGTTTAGTGTTTTATTCAAATATTCAAAATTCGATTATCAATGACATGGAATATCCAGGAATTAATTCTGGCTGATTTTCTTTTTTGTAAAAAATTTTCCTCTAGCATTTCTAGAAGTTAACATTGTTAATCAAGTAAAAGGTAAATAAACCTTTTTGATATCAAACAATTGATAATTTTATTAGCCAACTTTTTATTTCAATTGCTTTAACATTAATTAGGTATTACAAACATGTACACATTACAAAAAGTTTATTGGAAGAAGATCCACTTGTTTGGTGGAATCAAAAAAAGGTAGTTTTCAAATCTTGCTATGCGAGCAAGAATTTACTTGGTAATATTGGCAAGCTCAGTATCGTCCGAGAGGTTGTTTTCATCAGCTGGAAACGTATTTGCAAAGAAAAGAACTTGGTAAAAATAGGATTCATAATATTCTTTTTTTTTAAAAAGAAAATTCAAAACCTTTTGGATGATTCTTATTTAGATTTCTGATGATTTATATGTTCTTGGCTAGCTTAGAAAGCTAAGGTACACAGATCAAATTAATTACTTGAAAAAGGCTCATAATAAAGACAAAATAGGAAAGTAGATGTTTATTAAAAATTTTGTAAAACGAAAATTTTCTATATTCGTAATATCTAATCTTATATAAATTTTTGTAAAACGATGATTTTCTATCATTCATCATTGCTTATTTTATTTTTAATTATCCAAGCGATTAAAAAAAAAAATCCTCCAAAATGGTTACATCTATTAAATCCGCCTCTTCGTTAACCCACAATGACCTGAATAAGTTTGACATGGAAAAATACAATAATTTACAAGATGTCGAAGAGGCTGATTGAATGTTAAGACAAATATCCGAATTTAGCGAACTTCTTGAAAAAGTCAGGGCTTTGACTGAATAAAATAAAGTTGGATTGGGGCTTTGTTTAATAAACATCAGCTTGTGGAAGAAGGGAAGGCGACGATAGAAAAGTTGGATTAACTTGATAACAAGCCGGCATTTATTTTCACGCGGACGAAAAAACTTATCCTGCAAGCTGGCTAATTGAAAAAGGATAATCAATATTTCGTTTTGGGTATTAAACAGACCCTTGTGTGAAGAGGGCACTGGATAGATTGGTCCAATGCTCTTTTGTTTTGGAAAAGATCGCTCAGCAAACAAAATTTGGAATCTCTTATTGCACCTTGTATTCATGCAAGAGATGCCTTGGTTCGCTTTGAAGAAGACAAAGACCTTGCTGAAAAGCCAATACCCAACCGTTGACCAACGTAATTCAAAGCGAAATCAGTAAAACCAGCGATGATACCTTATGGAGTGTACCTATGATGCTATTATTTTTATGTATATTTTTATCAATATCTATAATATTATTATTTTTTATGTATATTTTATCAATAAGATTATTAAATAAAGATACAAGGCATACACATTTTCAATATTTAATTTGAGATTCTGTGGTTTCTGTTTTCCTATATGCTTTTACAGCACAACTCCTCTCTGTCTATCAGAACGTTTGATCATACTGCATGATCGAGAATTTTTCTTTGACTTTTATCTGGCTGGAATATCCATTTTATTCGACCAATAAAATTCATAAACCATGCATCATATATAGAAATTCTGTGTGCGACCTTTGATGTTGCTTTTTTTGATCTATTGATTTAATGCAATCTTTGAAAATTTTTTTGTGCAGTGTAACGTGTCAATTGAACAGATTTCTGTCAAATTTTACTATGTTGATTGGTTATCTTTGGGGCTGGGGTAGATTAGATATATTAATATATAAAAAAAACGCTCTTCCCACCACCAGGGTACAGTACCAAATTTTGTAAGAGTTCATATATACAAGTTAACATAAGATATAATATACATCAAGACAAACATCCAACTCCAAGAGCAGTTGTGGAAGCAGTCTGCTGAAATAAACAAAAATGATACAACAACTTTTATTATTTCAATAAAAGGTAAAAAAAGCAAGATAAACCCATTTTTGAAATCCGTGTGAATTTTAAAATTCCACGCGCAACATAAACACTCCTACCCGAAATTTTTAATTATAAATTTCAAATTTTTGATTTTCAATTATAACACATACATATACTCAAAGACATATTTCAGAACAAGTTCCGTTCAGTCTCGAATTCGAAAAAATGTAAATATGAAACACAGGCCGTACTTACCCCTATCGATGCCTTTAGATAAGATTATTAGAAATTATTAAGAGCATTGAAATTTGATACAAATAAATCATGCAAACATTATATCGGTGTTGCAAGTTAAATGTGATCTGCACCAAACCAAGTAGCTAAATTTAACGTATTTTGGGCATAATGAAGCAAAAAAAAAACAAACGAGTTACTGAAGATACCTTGAAAACTTTAGGTGACCCAATGAATGTGTTGAAAGTATCTTTGGCCTTACTCTTTTACATTAACCATTTTTTGCTTAAACAGACGAAATTTTCATTTGAAACCGGTTCATTAATTGATTATCAACAAAAGGTTATTAGCCAACCAGTTAAAATCGATAAATTGGATTCTTCTGTTCAAGGATTCAATTGGAGAATTACTCCAGATAAGTTATAAATAAATACCTTATGAATTTAAACTTGAAGGTAAATAAATAGTTAACCATTTATTGTATTTCGATTTTCAGCCTCCTATTTATTTATTCTTCCGTTCCGATTCTATTATACCTAAAGAAAATAGACTTCTCTTCTCCCAGGATTCAATCGTTTCATGGAGAATTTCAAGAAAAGTATTTTTGATATATGCATTATTGATAAAGATGGTTTTATACCTGGCATTAAAAGCACTGAATGAAGAAAAAAATATTACAGTTCCTCTTACCAATTCGGATAAACTTGATAACCCAATTGAAGCAGTTTTGAGTTTTAAGCTTGATATTAACAATAAAGGAGAGAAAATCGAGGTGTACTCGAATATGCGAGCCTAATAGTGGTGGTCATGATATTAAACATACAAAACGTCATATAATGTAAAGGAATTGGAAATTTAATTGTTAATGTGACCACTGATATAACAAATGACAGTCGAACAATTTAATAAACAAGAATTTCCCAAGGCTCGTTTAATTAAATTTTTATATTAATATTTCGGGTAGTAATACAAATTATTATTATTATTTGTTTTATTCGTTTTGTTCGAATCATTCGTTTTATTATTTGTTTTATTATTCGTTTTATTATTCATTTTATTCGAATAGAAACTCTAAGATGAGCAGGCTCGAGTTAAAACTTGAATTTTCAAGTTCGAGTCGAGTTCAAAAAATAGGCTCTTAAATTGTTTACCTAAAGAAAATTTATGTTCGAAGTCGAGCTTTAACTTCGCCATTTGAGTTCAGTGGGTCAAGGCAAAATGGTTATTGGAATGCAAATTTAATAAATAACCAGGAATCCTCGATATCGAATCCAACTATTATTGGTCTCCAAAACTAGAGAATTTCGCAGCTATATAAAAGTCAAAATGTTTCGCTTTGACCTTTAATTTTTGATTCAGTCTCGACACATAAGTTTAACTTTCATCTCTTCAAACCGGTTTTGGTGACCAACACTAAATCAAACCACAACCACAACTTCTAATTCTTCGATTAATAGTTTTGATATTATTGTTGAAACAGAGGAAACGCCAATTTGACGATGATAATGTTGACCACATTATAATATGGTCATGTTGAAAGGTTATTATTATTTTTAATGAAATTTGATATTTTTTAAATGTAATGAAAAATATTAATATACATGTGCCAATTGCCAATCGTCATTATTATGAATGTGAGTGGTGCTTATATCCAAGACATTTTATTTCAGATAATTTGTGTTACATTTTATATGAGGAGGATGAAAATGAAAATGAGGAAGATGAACGTGAAATATTAAATAGAAATGATGATTCAGCTGATGAATTAGATGAATTAGAAGAGGAGGAGTCTGGTGATTCTGGAAAAGAATAGTCAAAATAAAAAATTTCTTATTTTTTATTTATTATATAAAAATAAAAATAATTCAAAATATGTGGTGCTTATATTTATATTTATTTATTTTTCTATTTTTTTTTGTTTTTTCATTGCAAATTCATACTGGTGCTTATATTTGAGTGGTGCTTATATTCCAGAGAATACGGTACCCGCATAATTAATTGCAAATACTCAAAATTATTATGAATAATTGCATGCCTAAAAAATTACATTATTATGAGTTAACATAATTATAAAAATAACAAATCTATAACAATAAATTTATGATAAGAAATCTATTATAATAATAGTCTATATATATATCTCTTTCTCTCTGTGTGTGAATGTGTTTAATAACACTTAAAATATTATACACTTCATATGTTTTCTTATCATTTAAGTGTGTTTAAACTATCAGTTCATGCTGATAATGGAGATGGAAAGTTCTGTCGAATATAATAAATCATCATTTTGTAATTCATTATTAGATTGATTTGTTAAATTAACAATATCTTCAATAGTGTTAGTTATGTCTACATTATTCAAATCCTGCATAACTTGATCAATATGAGGACGGAGATCTGGATTTTCTTGCCAACATGCTTTATAAAATAAAATTTTAAGTATAAATTATTATTTAAAAAATATTTTCAGAACTATCCATTGAAAATTATAACAAATGGTCATATAATTCTTTCTCATTATTACCTGTATATATTTCTGCATATTTTCTTGGAGTTCCCTTGATTATTGCTTCACGTTCACCTGATGTTATGATAAGCATTAAATCAGTGAATTTGATTGACTTATCTGCAAATGGAGCATGGCCACTTGACAGCTCCCATAAAAGCACTCCAATACTATAAATATCTGATTTTTCATTGCGACTATAATTTTCAATATTGTTTAAATATTGTGGATCTGAGTATCTTATTGTACCAAATTTTTTGGAAGCTTCTATTGAAGGACCCAATAAAGATTTTGAGATTCCAAAATCACAAATTTTAATATCTCCATCATGAATTAGAATATTTTTAGGATGCTATTTAAAAAAATTAATGTTAGTTATTAGTTATTACTATGTGTTAAAAATGTAAAAATAATTAAATATAAATAAGTAATGTTTATACGTACCAGATCTCTATGTACTATTTTATTTTCATGCAAACAGCCTACAGCACTTACAATTTGTTTTGCAAATTTTAATTTAGCATTCCAATCCATTATATTGAAATTGGTTTTTAAATAATCACATAAATTACCATTATTTGCATACTCTAATACAAACATGTAATTTTTTTTATGTTTTTCTTTATTGAGATGTAAAAAAATTTAAATTAACAAAGTATAACAAATATAACAATAATTTAATAACAAAAACTCAACACACTTTCTTTTGTTACGCCATAAAACTTCAATATATTACTGTGAAATTCTACTTTACGATGTTGCTTTGCCTTTAAAAATCAAATTGTGAATATATAAATTTGTTGGATAAAAAAAAAAGATTTACAGATTTATTACCTCATTAAGAAATTGTTCAAAAGTATATTGTTGATCAATATTAATGGATTTTAACGCTACAAGTTCTTGATGATGCTTTGAAAATGCACGAGAAATTGTTCCAAATAATCCACCATCAATAAATTCAATATATTGAAAAGAATTATAATCATATAAAATATGTTCCCTTTTAAGTTGATGTTTAAACATTTTTTCCTCCTCTGAAATAGATTCTACATTTATTTTTAATCGCAATTTTAATCGCAATTTTAATGATTTTAATCGCAATTTTAATGTTTTTAATTGGAGTTTTAATGTTTTTGTTTTTTTCTCTCTATTTCGCCCTATCATTTGAACAACTGTGTGAAATGATCTTTTTAGAAAGCTTCAACGATCTGTCAGCACACTTTATGGCGCGATTTACAATAAATAATGTAGCCCTTTTAGAAACGACAAAGGTTTCTATAAAGTTCCTTTTTTATTTATTTACTTGACTTTCTTTGGTCGCTTAAAATTTTTTAACGGCCGTACAGTCGTTTTTCTTCTCTCGAAAAAACAAAACGCTAGTAAAATTTTTGCTCGGTAAAGAAACAAAGGTTTGTTTCAAGTTTTTGTTTACGTTTTGTAAAAGTTTTTAAACATAAAAACTAAAATTTTTTATCAGTGTGTTAGAGTGTGAACGTAAAAGTGTAAAGTGTTAACGGTCGTTATCGATTAATTAACCAAATATAAAGTGCTGACATTTATTAACCAAAGTCGACACCGTGTATTGTTACTTGTTAAAATAATTAATTGATGAGAAATAAAAAAATTTAATTTTTAAAAGATGATTATATTTATAATTATAAAATAAAAAGTTAGGACCAATGGGCTACACGCTGTATGGGCACAAACGCGGTAAACTCACAATAATATCAATTGATTATTATAACTAATTAAAAATTTATACTAAATATTGTAATGATCTACATTCTATAATTTCATGAAAAAATTCGAGAAAAAATTCAAAACAAAAAATACTTGAAATGTAACACAGTAAAATATAATTTTTTAATTTTGTATATAGTGCAAGACACCTTGGGGTGTTACACATCAGTATAAACACAAACATAGTTGAGCACACTTATAAAAAACTATATGTAAGGATTTTTTAT